TTTTTTTTTTTTCTCTAAATCGAATCTTATCTCAAATTCTCTCTAACACCTCACTATTTCCGTAATCAGACCGTTCTTGTGCACCGAGCAATTACACTTTTTCGGTATACAAAAAGTCCACAAAATTTTATCTTCGATTTTTAACTTTAACTCATACGCTTTTTTTACGGTCATTAAAACCTCGACAAGAATAATAGAACGTGCTTGAAGAGCGCAGCTTGAATCTAGCTGCTCTGTTCGTTAGCTGCAGTGCTCCAAACTTCTTCCCCAAGCTACGCTGTTGTCCACGTATAGGATTATTACGGGAAATTATTGAAATATTTCTTGTTCAAATTAGCCTTTTCAAATTCAGTTTAAAAAAAAATCAAAGAACAAGTGTTTATCTATATATTCTTATTAAACATATATGCGTACTCAACATCGCCATCACTACCATCGTCTGTTATTACCGTCAAAAAGATCTATCGCTTTTTTCTTTTTTGTACGCTTTTGTTATATTTGTAATTGTATTTTTTTCGACGTCGTTCCACTTTTTTTGGGGCATAATGCAACGTTTCGGAGATCTTTGATAATTATTCCAGTATTATTCGCCAGTTCCTTCAATCCAAAAATTTTAAAACTTTTTATCAAATTTTCATTCTATCTTCTCATTGTTCGTAAATGTGCTTCAGTAGCGTTGTGCTGCTGCAGCTATGTTTTCTTGTTGCTTCATTCTTCTTTTTCTCCATATACAGTGATTATTATTTATCTTTCAACAACACCTGAGATCTTTTTTTTAAATGCATATCTTCTTCTATTTTTTATATTATATTGTTGATAATTCATTGAGAATTCTAATTTAGCACGGCGATATGTTGTAGCTTGTTTCTAGGTTGAATTTTTTTGTGGATTAAATGCCAGTAGACGGGTAAAATTGAAATTTTATGGCTTTCTTCCTTTAGAGTAACTGATTTATTAGAAGCAACGAAAATACCATTTGGCAAAACCTCGGCGGGCTGAATTTGCCCGCCGTCTTCCTAAATGAAGCCGCTTATGATTAAAAGTTTAGCCATCGAGAATGACCTTCGAAGTGTAAAACTTTGGTCCAGGTATGTTCGTTAGTTTTTCGCAAGACCATTGAGGCTTAAACCGAGTAAAAACCTACGAAGATTGCGCTCAACTTCTTCAATTGTGAGTGAAATCAAGTGAATTACGGGAGCCTTTCTAGAAACGTTTTTCCACCTAGTACCAATCGTTTTTATATAATCTGTCACTTCGCTATCTAATAGCTTATAGCTAGCCGAGGTAAAAAAAAATGATCGATTCTGAAGGCAGTTCGCTAATTTGTTAGTTGTGATTAAAAAAATGGTTGCGACTTTTTGTTATCCAGTAAAGTTCTTGCTCGACTTCCTTCAGTTCACAAACCTCACCTACATTTCACTACTAAGTAGCTATTTTTTGCTTTCAAGCGACGATTTTATTAAATATTCAAATAAAGACATTTTTACTCAACTTTCACTCATTTTTCAGGTCGGAATGTCGTCTCTGGACGATAAACTTGTTTTTGGGTACTTGTGTTTTATATGCCGCCCGAGTCGCACTTCCACTGTGCACAGCAGCAGTAGCTGTGGAATTCAGATGGAACAAGAATGATTCGGTTGGTTCCTCTCATCGCTTCAGAAGCTAAACCGTTTTATAATTGACAGCAATATACGTTTTTGAAGTGTCGTCTTACAGAAGTAAACAAAGTTCAGATCTGACATTTCAAAGACTATTTCTTGGAAGTAGAGTAAAATGGAGGAGAGATTTATCTATCAGAAATTCTAGGGGACAGTGTTGTCATGCTTCTTCTGGGGTTATGCATGTACGCAACTTTTTGCCGGTGCTTTCGCCGACAGAATCGGTGGTGAACGGATTTTATGTGTTACAACCTTTCTCTGGGCTGTTCTGACATATCTTACTCCAAAACTTTTTGAATTTGCATATTTATCAACTCCTAATCCCTTGTATTTGGTAGTCTTAGTGCGAGTTTTGTTTGGCATTACTCAGGGTAAGTCGGGGATTTTCCGAACCTTTTTTTTTTGTAAATTTGTTACTCAGCAGTAACATTAATGGCTTATTATATTATCTGTAGTTTATTTTGCCTATTCATTTTTGTTTCATCTATTGAAATTGAAGTTGTAACTATGTAAGTTTAAGGTTTTCATATGCCATCTTTGGCATCAATAACGTCAAGACATTTATCACACAGTGACAAAGGACGAGTCTTCGGTATTTGCTCGGCCGGCTCTCATCTCGGGTAACTGTAAATAAAACTTTAGTTAATTATCTTAATGGTTGCGAATCTTAATTAATCACAGAAATATTTTGATTTTGAACATTCATATTATTTCAGAACAGTTATCGCTGCAGTTTTTGGGTCATTTTTATTGGACGCTTTTGGATGGAGAACTTTATTCCATTTTATGGGTTTGTACATCTTCATATACTTATTATTAAAAATTAAAGAAAGAACCAAGTGATGCATTTGCGCACTCTCTCCGATACTCAGGCGGGCAGAATATTGCCGAGTATTACACGTCAAATTCGTTCGCTTTTGCAGTTCTTTCTTATAGCCTTTGATCAGCTTTTTCACTGGATGTAAACGACAATATCAGAAACAACTGCTAAAATGACTACCTGCCTTTACTTTTAGGCACCATTTCATTGTTATGGTGGGCTTCTTTCCGTTGGCTGGCTTCGTCACAAACTGTACATCGAACTTGGTCTCTGTCACCAGAGAAGGGGATTGAAAAAGATAAGGAATCTGCCGTGAACGAGAACCTCAAAATTCCGTTGAGGACTCCAATTTCTGGACGAGAATCGAGCAGCAAAGTACCTTGGGGAATTCTTTTAAGAAATCCGGCTTTTTGGTTAGTACAACAGCGAACCATTCCATCTTTTTTAAAAAAACCACCTAGATTCTGATCTTTTAGCAAAATAATATATAACCCATGCGTTTAGGGGAGCAGTGGTTGCACAGTACTGTGGGGCAAATGCATATTATACGATGTTCAGTTGGTTACCGTCATATTTTGCTGATACTTTTCCGACAGCAGTAGGGATGGTATATAACGTTGTTCCATCTGTATCCATTGTTATCACATCTTTTTGTGCACCATTCCTGGCATCCCACCTCACGACACAACTTCAGTCTTTGACGAATACTAGGAAAATTATGGAAGTATGTCGGCTTTCTTAATGCATTTTTTAGCGCTGATTTGAAAGATATTACTTTAAATAAAAAATATACGGATCTTTTTTTTTTCAAGTAATCCACCTACCAATTCGCCAATTGACTTCTACGCTCCTTGTATCAGTTTGGTATTTTAACACAGCGAATTTTTTAGGCATTGTCGCTGCTTGGGATGGCCGTTTCGCTCACTTTAGCCTCTTTTTCTGATCATTTTTACTCATCTTTGGTATTATTCACTATAGCTATGGGAGCAAGGGGTTTTCATCACGGCGGCGTCTCGGTGAACCCCTGTGATTTTGCTCCTTATCATACGGGAACAGTTTTTGGTCAGTTGGTTTGTTTCAGTTATATATATTTATTAGAGTTTTGTGCTCTATATTAGTTTTTTTTGTAGCTAATACATTTTTTGGTTATACGTAAAACAGTGTAGATGATTCATGACTGTTTCAGGTATATTTAATGCATTTGCTTCTGTAACGGGCTTTCTCGGTGTCTACATAGCTGGATGTATACTACACGAGACTGGTAATAATTGGGCTTACGTTTTTACACTTTCAGCCATACAGTGTGTTGCTGGCGCTGCAGTTTATGCCTACCTTGGTACTGGTCTGAGAATCATATGAGTTTCAATCGTTTCGTTCCGGTTATCTTTCTGTACAAATGTCTTTTTTGATGAGCTGTTCATAGTGCCTAATACCTGTTTTGCGCAATTCGCTATCTGTAGTACTATTTGATAAATGATGAATTTTGCAATGTTTGTCAAAGTTTTCTGAGAACCTCCAGTTCTAATTCATAAATTGTTAATAATTTGTCTAACACAGACTGGTTTTTAGATTTTGCAAGCCTTAGCCGTTATTTCCTGTGAACTATTCTTGTGATGACATCCTGTTGCGACTTGTCTCGAATTTCCAAATGTCAAAATTATATGTTTGGTTGTTTCTCTTTCTGATTTTTACTGCAGAAAACACAAAATATACAGTTGGAATTAGTAAGAAATGAATAAAGATGTAGCGGGCCACTGACAGTGGTGCTTTTGGACTTTACTCCATTTGTTACTCAAAACTGAAAAGATGTTGCGGTACCAACTTTTTTTTGAAAAAATGAGCTGCAAATGGGAGGATAACAGTTTCAAGTAGAATAAATTGAAAGTGACGGTAGGACATACGGGAGATGAGTTTCATGAGTCTAAGAATGTGAGGCAAGGTAAATAGTGGTTAATAGTTCTCCAAAATTTACCGTATTTGTCAAAACCACAACTATCAAACTGAAAACCTAAGGAGCGAAGTGCTAAGCACTTTAGGGATTTCAGTTCGCAATCGAAAGTTATTTTAGTTTTCGTCTAAAAAGAATTTTCTGAACATTTTTGAGCAAAAAAGGAAACAAATTCCTTCCGACGCTGTAAATTACTTAACATTTATTTTCAGTCGACAACTATAAATGCCGGCAACGGAAAAATAACTGCCTGCTGAACCAGTTCCAACATTCAAAGCTCATCCTCAACATAGCTAAAATTTGCGGAAATAACGTTATAAAACAAAAAAAAAGATTTTTTTGGCCTTTTCTTCTTGTTCAGTAACTGCTCACGGTGACTCTCCTGGTCAATCTGTTACCAAAGTTTGCTGCCACGCGGGTTTCCAATATTTAATAACACGACGTTTACTTCGAGATCGTCAATAAAATAAGCCAAGTAGTTTTAAACTTGGGTGATTAAACCCTTTATATAACATAAAAAACGGTATAAATAACGCCAATTCATCGATATAACCAAAATCAATCACAAATTTAACAGAAAATAAAAAAGGGATCACTTCTTTCTTTTTCCTGCTGTTCGTGTGTGGCTTTTTTACAAAGTCTGCTCCAGCGGGTTATCGTCCTCTGCTTTATCTTCTTCCATGCCGAGTTTAAAGCTGAAGGTGTTGGGAATTAACCCTCTTTTTTAGTATCTTCTTGATAAATCATATCGGTTGCTCCCAGGGTTTCCGGGAGTGTCTTATCTTCGCCTTTTGGCGGCAAACGTAACGGCTTTCGTAACGGCCATCGTGTTCACATTGAAGCTGGCTTGTTGTCACTAGAATGCTTCAGAAATGAGGTATCCAGATATGTCAGTCCAGTCAGAGGACGTGGTCAGCTGTTTTGACATACTTGCCGGTTTTTCGTGTAAGTTTTCTTTTAATGTGAAAGCCTACTGCAATTCTAGGTTAGTGTTCGTCCATTCAACATTTGTATAAATTTTAAAAAAATGAAACCATACTAAACGTAAATGAAGAATAAGTACAAAATATGAAAAAAAAAAACAATAAGAAGAAAATTAAAATGAACTAAAAATAGAACAAAAATAGGAAGGGCAATATATATTAAACGCTGAAATAAGAACAAAATACGCATAAGATGAGAAAAGAGAAAGCAATGAGTGAAAGATAGATTGAGGGGCAATATAAAAATAGGAAAAAATGGACTAAAGTGACCGGAATACAAAAAAAATAAAGTAAAAATTGAAACAAAAGAGTTGAGGTTTGAATAAAATACAAAATTGGATGAAGAAAAGAAAATATTAAAGGAACAAAAAATAAACTAAGAATGAAGCAGACGATAAAAACAGATAAGAAAAATCAGACAAAGTTATGAAAAAATGGAGTAAGAAAGAAATAAATTATAAAACAAACAAAAGATAGAAAATGAAATTGCAAAAGTGATGCTAATAAAAAGTGGGATAAAGGTAAAATATTGCAAAAAAAGTGAATTTCGGGATAAACAACTGATTAAAAAAAAGTTTATATGATAAAAGTGTTGTGAAAACAGTTGGAAAACAAAACAGAATTGAAACTGCAATCGGAAAGCAACGGAAAATAGAGAACAGTAAAAAGTACGATCAGAATAAAAAAACAAATAAAATAAACGAGGAAAAAAAGGTGTACGAAAAGTCAAAAATAAAAGTGGTATTGCAATTGTACACTGAAAACAAATTTAAAAAAATATAAGTTGTTTTACTTTCTTTTGACTTC